GAGACAGGGTTTCTCTGTGTAGCTTTGTGCCTTTCCTGGAGCTCACTTGGTAGCCCAGGCTGGCCTCGAACTCACAAAGATCCGCCTGGCTCTGCCTCCCGAGTGCTGGGATTAAAGGCGTGCGCCACCACGCCCGGCTGAACTGAGGGCTTCTTGAATGCTAGGCACATAGGCTGCCACTGAGCTACATCCGCAGCCCTTGGATTCTACTGGGGGACTTGTTTCTGTGTGGCAGTACTGGTTCCTGGTGCAGAGAGCACCTGGTTCTTGGGTGTCCCGCTTCATAACCTCTTGCTGGTGGCTGAATTATAGACTGTTTAATTTGGTGGGTGAAAACCCTGTCGTGGCCAGGTATGAAAGCACACATATTTGTAGTCCCAGCCTAAGCTATGTAGTTAGACCTCGTTTAAATACAAACAGCAACAAAACTCAAGACTTCTGTAGGTACCCATTGCAAATGCTGTTGGCTCTGTCCTTCTGGGCTCTTGGTCAGATAAATTAGGATCTTGCAGCTTTGTTGGTGGTGAATAACCATGGCGGGTGACTTCTCATCTCCAGGCCCATTTATTCATCTGGACTGTGGACATAATGACAGTTACTCAGTTCGGGTTGGATTGAGGGTCTGAGGGCCTGCTACAAGAGGCACAGGAGCCCAGTTTTGGCAACCATGGTGGAGAGCAAGTGTGTGCTCATCACTGTCGGGTTTATTTTAGGATGGTCTGGTCTATGCAGTTGAGTTCTCCCACCGTTCTGGCCGTGACCTCATCAACTTGGCCAAGAAGAGGACCAACATTATTCCTGTGATTGAAGATGCTCGGCATCCACACAAATACCGCATGCTTATCGGTGAGGGGCCTGGGGGCAGCCCAGGGAAGGTAGGCTAAGCACTGCATGTTTCCCAGGAGAGGCCAAGGGAGCCTCATAGCAGATGGAGTTAGAGTGAGGAGCTGCGGGTAGAGATTGTGTCTGCTCATCTGACTCCTTCCCTGAGGCCACGCACTTGGGCTCCTCTCTACACGCTGCCCTTTTACACCGCCCTGGTTTGTGCTCTGTATGTTATCTGATGAGATTCCAGCCCTGAACACAGCAAGTATGACCCATTGGCTTTGTTTTTGTTTTTTTTTTAAACTCCTCAAAGGTCTAGTATAAAAGTAGAAAGCCTCATGAACTCCCCCAGAGGTACTTGATACTTGGCATCTGCTTTTCCAAATTCTTAAAGGATACTTTCATTCCATCATTTTTGTTTATGTATTAATATTTTAAATCATACTGCATAAAAACATCACCTTTTCATTGTACTTTGTTGTTGTTGGTTTTGGGATTTTTGTTTTCTTGAGGGGGTTATTGTTTTCTTTTTTCTTTGCATTTTCTCGGTTTACTTGGCGCCTCTCTGGTCCTTTTCCTCATTTGACAGCCCTGCCCACGTCTTGCCTTAACTGCTCGCCTTTACTTGTCTTTTTGATGACATGTCTGTCTCCCCCCAGACCCGGGAGCATCTCGAGGGCAGGGTCTGACTCGTCTCTGTGTCCCCCACGCCCAGCCCAGGGCTGGCCACAGAGTAGGTGGCAACCATGTTTACAAGAGGAGTGGATGAGTGATGTGACTGGGTTCTGGCCCCACCTCTGGGGCCTTTGGAGGGAGGGTATGTGGTGGGGAGTGAGACTGGAGGCAGGAGACTCCCAGGAACCTGGTGGTGATGGAGCACAGGCCCCCATTGGGAGGCTCAGGAAGTTCTCTGGTGGCTTCTGCTTGTAACTGCTGTCCCTTTTTCCCTAGCAATGGTGGATGTGATCTTTGCTGATGTGGCGCAGCCAGACCAAACCCGGATTGTGGCCCTGAACGCCCACACCTTCCTGCGGAATGGAGGACACTTTGTGATTTCCATTAAGGTATGAGGCTTGGAATGTAAGGTGGGGTGACAACTGAGTGTGGTGGGTGGGTGCTGGATCTCGTGCCTGGACATGTGGCTTAGTCTGGTTGACTCAGTTTCTTCATTTATTAGTCCGCTTTTAAGGGTTGAAGTAAAAATGGATACATGTAAAGTGTTTAGAATAGATTCTTACATAGAATAAATATTAAATAAGTGCAAGGTGCAGTTTCCAAAACATTTTAATTTGAAATACAAAAAACTCCCAGGCGTTTTCACCATGTTAAAAATTAGCTAGTTTGTTTGCTGCGTTTGTTACCAGGACATGAAAGAAAATTCCTGAGGTAAAACACTGCCTTAGATAATTAGAACATCCTGTTTTCAGTCCAAGCCAAATTAAAACTTCTGTAATGGAGTTTTATAATTGCGAAACCTGGGACTCCAAACATCTGATGTACTTTTAGCTTAAAACAACGCGCAGACCTCCAGTCATTTCTCCTTGTAGGCCAACTGCATTGATTCCACGGCTTCGGCAGAAGCTGTGTTTGCATCCGAAGTGAAGAAGATGCAGCAAGAGAACATGAAGCCCCAGGAGCAGCTGACGCTAGAGCCCTACGAACGGGACCACGCTGTGGTTGTGGGTGTGTACAGGTAAGTACCAGGAGAGACCTCGCCCTTGCTTGCAGCCTGAGCTCCCTAGACCTGGGAGCCAAAAATGGTGACACCTCCACTCCCTCTGATTTTCTCACAGGCCACCTCCCAAGGCGAAGAACTGAAACTCGGAGCTGTCTGGATGGAAGAAGTGTGTGTTGCTACTGTTGCACGTGTAGTTTTTTTCTATTAAAAGACTCAACTGTCGCTCCTGTCTGGTGCTGTTTGCTCTGTGGCCGAGAGACGCATGCGCCCTTGACCAACTTTATGTGCGCTTGGTGGGGGGTGCCTTGGAAAGTTTCATCCGGTCACATGGTGCATGCTCCATTGATGGCTGCTACGCATGTGCGCGGCTCCGCGCCCTTAAGGCGCAGGCGCACAGTGCTCCCTTAAGTCACGTGAGCGGTGTGGGGGCGGAGCCGGGACAGGGGGGCCGGTTTGTTGTGGTCGCCATTTTGCTGGTTGCATTACTGGGTAATCGGGGCCCTGGCTCGCCGCGTCCACCGGACACCCTCAGCCAGTGGGCAGGTCTGAGCTCGGACTCCCCGAGCAGTTTGCGTCCCCTTACCCACGCCCTCAGGTAACGGTATGGCGACGGGCGGGGCGGCACGCTTGGGTGGAGGGCGAGCCGGGATCCGCCCTGCCGTCCCCGCGAGACTTAGCAAGGCAAAGGAGGGGGTTCGGGCCAGTGCGGCGGAGCCCGGCTATTTACTGCTGGGTTTCTGGAAGGGGCTGAGCCCGGGGGAGCCCTCTTGAAAGGGAGTCTGGGAGGGGGCAGCCCGGCCCCACTCCCGCCCTTTGTTTGGGCTCGGCTGCGCTGGCCGCTTCGCTGTCGCCTAGCAACAGCTGCCCTGAGCGCTGGTTGGTTAAGCTCTCGGCAGCAACAACCAATGGCGCGGTTGTTGCCATGGGAGGTGCGGCCTGCCGGGCTCGTCGGGCCCCGCCCGCCGGGACTCCACCGGCCGGGGCGGG